CCCCAAAACCCCAAAACCCCAAAACCCCTCTAGAGTCATCACTAATTGTGTAATTCTTTATATTTCATAATTTTATCCAATACAATGAACTAGGCTGAAGTCGATGAACAGGCAGCATCAGAAGATTATAGTCATGAATAAATTTATTCGACAAACAACCTCTCAGAAGAACCTGAAGTAGCTTATGCATTTACATTGGCTTCTCAAGTTGATCGACCGAAGGAGCCTGACCAACAGAAAACTCCTCTTCAGAACTTCTCAGGGATTCCATATCTTCAGATTTCTTTTTCTTTTTCCGAATATTTTTCTTCTAAAAATTATGAAGAGAACTTACAGAAGAAAGCTTTTCTACTTTAATCGATTTGTTATTCTTGCTTGAAGATTCCTCATCAGAATTCGACCCAAATATATTGAAGGAGGAGCCACTCTCAGAGCTCGAGGAGCTGCTCGAAGAAGAGGATGACGAAGAACTAGAATATTCATCTACTTCTTCGATGATTCCATCGCCCATGAGTGATTTGTGCCTAAAGATTACTGAGCTTGCTTACCTTGCTTTATCTCTTTTGACTATTTGGATAGCAGCATCAATTTGGCTCCTCATCATGTCCTCTGGGTTGAGAGAAGCTCTGAATCCTCTCTGGGATGGTCGAATAAGCTTCCTGATTACTGTTCTTTGAAACTTTAGAGGAGCCTTATTAACTTTGGCCTCCTTCAAATTTCTCATTATATTGCCCTCTATCTTCCAGAACTCAGTTCAGTCCATCGAAAGGTGACCGAGCTCATGGCAAATATAGCACTTAAGGCCGAGCTTAGAGTAATCATTTTTCTTTATGATTCTCTTCTTCATAGATTTATACAATCTCTCGTCCTCTTTGTGATGTGCTATAATCTTCTCAAAATCAGCCTTCTCAAGAACGACCATTTCTGTAAAAGCAGTTGTTCTGACAGTTGCTCAACGTAATTTGCCTGAGAAAAACGCAGCTTCTCCAAATGTCGAATTCATCCCAAGTTCTTGAATAAATCACTTTTTCTTGTAGTTCACAATTATGACACTTCCTTTACCAATGAAGTACATTTTGGTGGCTACATCTCCTTCTTCAAATACATTGTCATTTATAGAATAGAGTTTACGAGTAAGACAGAAAATGATTTCGCCAATAAAGGAGAGGTCAAACTGATCAAACATCTTGCACTCCTTAATGATGCTTCCATTGAGGAAAGCAATGACCTGTTCTTTGAGGTTATGGTTCAACAAATCTAATACTTCCCGCTCCTCAAGCTTCTCGACCTTTTTGTACTCAATTAAACAATCTAAGTAGGACAATATCTTGATCCGAAGTTCGTTTGGAACCTTGTGATGCATCAAAAATTGGTTGATGTGCAAGGATTTTAGCTTCATCTCCTTCGCAAGAATATTCGATCGATTAAAAATCGCACTTAAAGCTCCAATAAGGTATGCTGAGAGCCCAGTAGCAATAAGCATGCAGAATATAGAAAATATTCGTTCAATGTTAGTAAACGGACGCATATCTCCATAACCAACACCTGACATTGTTGAGAATGCGAAATAGACTCAAGTTATGTACAAATCATAAGTACTCTCATGATTCAGAGACAAAGAGTATATCCAATTATCCTGGTTTTCATCATAAGTACCCACAAAGTAAAACATTCAAGCAACCCAATGACCTAGCATGAATATAAATATCAAAAGCTTGAAAGAATCCGTCATAATATACATCATATCGTTGACTAAGAAATCGTCAAGCTTGTGGAATAGCTTCCTAAGCTTCAAAACTCTGACAATTTTCAGAATTCTTAAGAATTTGACAATCTTTAACAATCTCAACAGCCTCGGAGCTGAAGCGGCTGTTGATGCTGCCGCTGAGCTGTCTCCATCTCCAGAGTCAATAAAGATCTCCATCGCATAGCTGTATGGGAAAGAAGCAACAATATCAAGAATGAGCCATCCAAAGATATAATTAAAAATAACCTTCTTTCTCACCATAACTTTTGTTCCTTTGTGGTAGTACCCAACATTGAATCACACAAGTATGTCAATGACGAACACCAAATCCATGAGTAGTTCCACATAGAACGTGAATCCTTCAGGGGGTTGATCGAAGCAGATCCTGAAAGGAGTGACCACTCATTGGTACGCAATTAAGATAAAGTTAAACAAGTCCCACATGCCTTTATAAGTATGATCAGGATCGATCATATATTTAGACTTTTGAGTTCCAAATTGATTGACCACGACCAAGCACCCTTGGTTGATAATCTCCTCATCAATCTCTGTAGTATTCATAATGGTTGAAAGCATTTCATCTATTTCTGAGTCAGAGCTAGGCTTGGCCTCTCTGTTTTCTCTAAGACTTTTGGTAGACTCTTTCAACTCCATTGTCTTCTTCGAAGAAGGAGTCTGATTGGATCTCATGATCAACTTCTGACTTCTCGTAAACAGAGTAGATCTCCTTGCATCTCGAACTTTCCTAAGAATACTCTTTCTTGAGTCCTTCTGTCTGACTCTGCGATAAGATTTGACACTTTTATTAACAGATTTCTTCGACTCTGATGCAGAGCTTTTATTCGACTTTCTACTTCTATAAAAAGCTCATTCCATGCCGACCCAACAAGCCACCCCAAGAAAGCATGAAGAAGTTTGAAATTTGAAAAAGTCTTACTTTCTTGAACTCTTACTAAAAATACTAAAAATAGATTTCCGACGAGAATGAATTTTCCTCATATCTTTCCTTGTTTGTTCATTATTATTCTTCACAAAAATAGGAATGATGGCTCTGATCTTGCGGCTAGTATTCTCCCACTGAGACTTATTCTCCTTAGTAATATTATTGGATCTGTAAAGCTCTTTAGGAAGCGTGACCTTACTCGTAACACTCATTTTGTCACTAGACCTAGCTGACTTGAGATGAGCATTGGTAACTTTCCGGAGAACAATACTGCTTCGTTCCTTTCTCTCAAGTTTTTGAAGCATATCGCTCCTGTTGAATGGACTATTCAACTCTAAAGCAACATACTAGATCTCCTCTGTTGGTTAAACCTTGACATCTTCGGGGTTGAAAGATCCCTACGCACATTATTGTGTGGGGAGAACTGGCTTGAAAACCCAGACAACTTCTTGGATGGAGCCCTTATTTGCTCAGACTCGTAATTTGAGCTTGATAATACACTCATCTTTGATTATTAATTTATTCAAAAGCTTTATATGATTTCGGGGTTTTGGGGTTTTGGGGTTTTGGGGTTTTGGGGTTTTGGGG